CCCTTTGCTGCCACACTCACTCAAACATAACATGGGTATCTCTTTCTCTCTTCATGTATATAATATATTTATACATCTGATATATAAAAAATTATAGTTATTTTAATAGTTAAATTAGTGATTTTTTTTTTAGATGGTTAGATATGCAAATACATAGGAATTGATTGATACACGTGTAAATGTCCCCTAGAAATATATGCATAAAAAAACATATTTTGGGTGAGATAAGTTAATCTTATCAGTGTATGTAATTTAGAAATTAAAATGTTATACAACAAGATATGAGGGTTTATGTGAAAGATATGTAAATGTATATGTAAATGTATATAAATTCAATAATATGTATGTAAATCAAAAGTTGTTTTTTTTATGAAAACTACATCATAGTTTTGGTTTTTAATGTTATTAGAAAATGTTCAAATTAAATTATTACTTTTTTTAATAGAATGTTTATGTTGTTTGAATGAGTGACTAGCATTGTAGATGTATTTTTGAAACAAGTATTGATGTAATTTGGTTTTTTTCATCTCTCTCTATCTCTCCTCTCTCTCTCTCTCTCTCTCTCTCTCTCTCTCTCTCTCTCTCTCTCTCTCTCTCTCTCTCTCTCTCTCTCTCTCTCTCTCTCTCTCTCTCTCTCTCTCTCTCTCTCTCTCTCTCTCTCTCTCTCTCTCTCTCTCTCTCTCTCTCTTCCATTTGATAAGTGAGTCAAGTTTAGTATTTACATATCTAACTTTATATTTATATTTATAATTCTTTGGTGTCATAAAGCTCTGCATGGAAGTTATATCTCACTTTTAAAAGAGTAAACAATAATGATATCTTCATTATGATGTTTTAAATTTGGATACAACGTCTATATCTATAAATATCAAAGTTTAGGTATCATATATGCAAATATAAAAGAATTTTGTGGTATATATATGACTGCCCCAAACATATTTTAAGTGGAAGAAACACAAGAACAATCATAACATATTACTTCATATAGCAAATCACAACAACAACAACAAAAGATCTCCATTCCCACACACTCTCTCCCAATTTCATGAGAGATTATTGAACTCAAACCATGTTCATAACTCTTCATGCAGACTAAGAATCAAATCCTTGCTCTCATTCTAAATAACTCTGTACAGAACAAAGCACAGCTCTGTACTCCACTAATGGATCGACTTTATACATAAAATCATGCATAGAATCATCTCTCTCACTCATTCACGTAAAAAATTATTGAATTTGAAACTGCATGCATGCATAATTCTATGCGCAGACAAATGATTACGTAGGAATCAATCATCTTTATAAAGAATTATGTATCTGAGTCGCAGCTAATAAGTTCTGAAATGTTTTCATAGGGAAGAAGAAGAACGACCATCGAGCTGAAAATCCTCAACAATATACTCACTCGCCTCCGGCATCGGTCCAAATAGAGGGCTATGTAAGAACTCCTCATCGAAATAGATTTGGCCGCTCAATATATCCTCCTCATCTCCTATCGTGTCGGAATAATTGAACTCCCCTAGCTCCAATCCTCCTCCATTACAAACACGCTCAGGAGCTGGAGTTATGATCTCCTCTTCGATGACAGGAGGTAATGATTGATGGCTGGGAAGAATGGTGGTAGATGGAAGAAGAAGGGGAGGAGGGGGAATTAAGAAAGGGTGAGGAGAAGGAAGGTCTGGGGATAGAAATGGGGTTAGAGAAGAGCCTGGTGGGAGGTCAGGATAAGCAAAGTTGGTGCGCGCGGAAGCACCACGGAGAGAACGTGCGGCGCGGTCGTAGGCAACAGCAGCTTCCTCAGCCGTGTCAAAGGTTCCGAGCCAATGTCTTTCTTTGGTTGCCGGGTCACGTATCTCAGCGGCATAACGGCCCCATGGGCGACGCCGCACACCAAGATATCTTGGATTGTAGGTTTGGGTGAGGAGGTTTTGTGTTGATTGGGGTTGGGAAGGAGAGGAGTGGGAAGAGAAGAGGTGGGAGAAGTCCATTATTGGAAAAGGAGGTGCTTTAATTTGTGTTTTATGAATTGACTTGTGGGTGGGAATGGGATAGGCTTGAAAGGGGAGGGATGGTTATATATATGAGGAGAAGATGTGGGGTTTTCAGAAAGTGAGAAATTTGTTTGGTTTTTTAAGGTAAGACATGTGCTAAACAAAGATGGAAGATTTTTTTTGGTGAGAAGGAATGTTCATTCATTCATTTATATGTATATAGATAAATATAAAGAGTGGTATTTGAAATTACTGCTTTCCATACGTGCTAGCAGTGTCGATAGGGATCGAATCCTGGTCAGAGAGGACTTACTAATGATAACGCATATGCCTACCAACTTGTCAGCCTAGTCGCATGTATATATATATATATATATATATACATAATCATGAATTTCAATATTTGAGTGAGAATTTGAAAATTGGACGAATAAGGGTGGTTGATTTGTATAGTTTTAACAAAATTACAGCTTAAACTATATAGGTATTGGGGATTATTTGCATACTCACCCCCCTAAAACTTGCTATTTACAAATCAACCCTTTTACTTTCATCCATTTTTCAAATTCTCAGTCGAATATCAAAATTCACGATAAAAACCCAACCCATGTTTTTCATTTTTATTAAATTCTCAATAGTTTGATCACGACATGCACAAATGCATCACTTTCATAAATATCAATATTTTGGACGGTCTCTGTGTAATTATGCCTTAACCCAAATAGTTTTATCACATGATTAGTAGAGAGATTAAAGCTCTAATTATGAGAGCTCAATTAGGAATGGAGTATCTAATGATGAGGAAACGTTCTAAGATGATTTGATTACATGTAATTTATCATTAGCTTGCATGTGCAATTCCCTCTCACCTTTCTATATTCTAATGCAATTTCTCTTAAAAGGATAATTACGAACAGATCATCACAAACGTCGATATTTACAAATTAATCACTCATATAACTTTTTCTTAATACTGTATTTATGTATATACGCGTATCACGATCAAATTTTTGATAAAAATGAAAGCTATGGATTGGGTTTTTTACGATGAAAATTGATATTTAAGCCAGAGTTAGAAAAAGTGGATGAAAAAGAGGGGTTGATTCGTAAATAGCAAGTTTCGGGTGGTCTGTATGTAATTTGCTCATTTTTAATCATGTTTAGTAGATTTAATTTGTGCTTAAAGAACAATAAAAGTCTAATTAACTTAATTAGGAAATTAATAATAATAAATCTTTTGTGAAATTTAGAAAAGGTAGATGATTGGAATATATGCTAATCATAGATTCATTGTTCCTATGAAAAAAGTACAATCACTTCAACAATCATTGCCTTGTTCTGACATAATTAAATTATTCATTTTTTTTTAAGATCAAATTTATCATATGTTAAAGCTAGCATGAAATATATCCAATTCTTATTTTAAAATAGCTTTTTCATAGCTTTATTTTATAAGCTTTTGTTTTGCTATAATCTCCATATTTAATAGAAATTTGTATTATATATATATATATCTATATATGGCGTTTAATTTGATCAAAAATCAAATATAAAAATGCCCGTACTCTTGATTTATGATCAAGTGAAGGGTCTGAGGGAAACTCCTCCAGAATCCCATCATAATCGCCTGACCAACAACGCAGCTGCCAACATTACTGAATTACCGTCTCCAGCTATTGTTGTCAGATTATCATTGCTCTATAAATGTCATTGGACCAAAACCATTATTTTTGGACTACCATTTCCCTAACAATGGAGCAACTGCCATTATTGTTATGAGATCTTTGAAACCAACAAATGCCAAGACACAGCATCCGTCATCATTGAGCTACTTCTCTCATCATCAAACCATCATCATTTGACCAATGTCACCCGATCGACATCAAGCCACTATCACCAAATCGCTGCTACTTTATGACATTGTCACTGTCACTGGATCAATATCAATGCACTAGAATAGCCTTGTTAGTTTGCTAACATTCACCGACTGACACTGTCACTATCACTTGAGTATTGTCACTCGACAACAACCACCATCACAGAAGAACTATTGTTGGATTGCCGTCATGCTAGAGCACTATTGTTAGGTCTCCACTATACTTACGATACACCATCATCGTTAAACTATTTTCACTCAGCTTACCTCGCTAGACCCCATAGTAATCATCGAATTGTTATTGTCTACAAAAGACATTGACAAAATCACTTACTTCACTGTAGGATCAACATTCTCAGTCGATGCACCAGAACATTGTTACCTGACTGATGTCGTTAGGTCGCAGTTATCCTCATTAGATCACTATTTTTTCAATAACATCATAATTATTACTACCATTGTAAGACCACTATCTTCACCAGTTCACCATGTCATAACCCTCAATATCGTCAGAATACCTTCACTTATTAGCCACCAACACCTCACTAACACTGTAACACCGATGTCGGGTCATCATCAATAACTTGAACATCTTCATCAGCTATTAGCATGTCGTACCACTATCATCGTTCCATCACCATTCTAAACCACCGTCACCCAAGCACCATTATTATTATGGCTCATTGTCATTTTAGTCGGGTCAGCATCGACATGCTAGAATAACTTCACCAAACCATCTTCATCATTCAATTGACATCACCATAACTACTGGATCACCGCTGCTCGGCCACTACCATCATCACAATACACCATCGTTAGCAACCCACCACTATCTGGTCAATTGTTCCACTGTGTAACAACTGCTATTGTAGTATGTCAGTGCATCTGTTGAGACTTGATTTTGTGATCTCGCAAGTCTTACATGTTTATTTTATATTTATTGATTTTCTTGAATTTTTTTGAAATAATTTTATACACAATTTATTTGTTGGTTTTTAGTAGTTTAATTTCATGTATGATTTATAAAATGTATTCACGAGATTCTAGAGTATGTTTGATTATATTTTAGGCATATTTTAACCTATTTTTATTGGCATCATAAGTAAGAAAAATGAAAATAAAAGATTATCAGTTAGGTTTTTCTTTCTTAAGGAATTGATACATTTTTATATAAGAAAGCTTTCTAGAACTATCTGATGTACATTTAACAAACTATTTTCACTAGTGTGTTCTAGAAATATTTTTATATTTATTAACTAATTTTTCATAATTTTGAAGCAACATATTTCAATATGTGAATAGATTTATATAAAGTTTATATATTAAAATGTAACAATTCAAAAAAATTCATTTATTTCCTCTATAAACAAAAAATCATAAATATTCAAACCCACTCAGTCTCCATTCATTGCATGGATTTTACTTTTCCAACACGAGGAACGTAGAGAGAGAAAAGAAGAGAAAAATATAAGTTTAGAAAGAAAGGGAGATTTGGGGGCCATAGTGCCGATTTTATTCTTCAGGTCAATTGGGAATATTGTTTGTCTCTAGATGAGCTATTGTAGATAATCATGGGGTGTTGACTTGTGGGCATCGACTTTAGGTTCCTGCTAATGGTGATCCGTGGAAGGAGATATTGCATGAGGCTCATTATTCTAGATATATAATTCATCCAGGGAGGAAAAAGATGTATCATAACTTGAAGTTGATATTTTGGTGGCTTGTGTTAACGCATGAGGTGGCCGAGTTTGTTTTGAGATGTGAGACATGTTAGTTCGTGAAAGTAGTGCTTAAAGACAAAGTCGTTTGCTGCAACCTTGCATATTCCTGAGTGGAAATAGGAGGATGTCATTATGGATTTTGTTATGGGTTTTCCAAGGCCAATGCAAGGTCAAGTTGCAATATGGGTGGTGGTTGACTGGTTGACAAAGTCTAAACAATTCTTCCTATGGGGTATATATATGAGATTGTCAGACTACATGGGAAACCGAAAGTCATTATTTTTTATCGTAATGGTAGATTTGCTTTTAAATTGGAGGGGTATTCAGGAAGATTTGGGGACTAACTTAAACTTCAGTACAACTTTTCACCCGCAGACAGTTGATCTGTCTGAGAGGATTTTCAGGTGTTGGAAGATGTATTGAGATTATGTGCACTTGACTTTTGAGGGAGATAGGAGGAACCTATTCCTTTAATTGAATTTGCCTATAATAATAGCTTCCATTCAAGTATTGGTACAACATAATATAAAACCTTACATGGTAGAAGGTGAGCATACCTTTATCTTGGACAGTGGGTGAAAGAAGATTGATTGGTCTGAGTTTGTAGATGATGTCGTTGAAAAGATCAAACTAGTCCAAGGTAGATTGAGAGAAACACAAGATAGATAGAGAAAGTATTATAAACCAAAGCATCGAGCAGTCGAATTTTAGGTGGGAGATTTTGTATTTTTGAAGGTGTGTCCCATGAAGGGGATAAATAGATTTGGTAGAGCGGGAAAGTTGAGTCCGAGATACATTGGACCTTTTGAGATGATTGGTAGGGTTGATAATTATGCTTACCAATTATTACTACCCGCTTATATGTCGGGCGTGCACGATGTCTTTCATTTATCTTTTTTAAGAAAGTGGATTTATGATATTGAACATAAAGTTCTTGAGGATGAGGTTAAGATACAACCTAACTGGACCTATAGAGAGGAACCATAATGTATTTTGGCCTTTGATTTGAGATAATTAAGAAGCAAACAATTCCCTATGGTTGCAGTGGAAGCACTGATCAGAAAGAGAAGCATGTGGGAGAAAGGGGTTGACATGAGATATTTTTATCCAAATTAGTTTGAGAGTTATTAATTTTGAATGTCGAGGACGCATTTTTCGAAGGAGAGTATAACGTAACAACTACTAATGTAGTATACCAGTGCATCTGTTGGGACCTAATTTTGAGATCTGGTAAGTCCTACATGTTTATTTTATGTTTATTGATCTTTTTGAAGTTTATGGAATTAATTTTATACTCAATTTATTAGTCAATTTTAAGTACTTTTATTTTGTGCCCGATTTATAAACTATCTTCACCAAATTGTAGAGTATACTTAGATTATATTTTTGACATATTTTAA